AAGAAAATCAGTTCTAGTCTTTATAATGAATATCATGGTGAGACATTCTTTTTCAGTATTGTGTCAGAAATAAAAAGCCTGGTACCTTCATATGTGGAATCTGTGATTTTCCTTCATCTTCTCTTTATTCATTACTGATAATAACTTGGTGTGTCTCCCCAGGCCTGGGAAAGTGCTGACACTCGGCAGGGCCACCTGGAGCCTCCATCGTAAAACCTCTAGACATGTCTCTGCTTGTATTTTTCAGCAATGATTTCTCTGCTTATGGAATGTTGGCTCCAAATGTTTTGAAACTGATATATTACAGTCTGTTTGTTTTGGAGCAAGACATTTTCAGCACAAAAGCAATAGCATGGGATTCTTGGATATCACTCACAGTATTGGGACAAGGTCCTCTGGCTCCAAAGGTGAAGATTGACAAGTGTGCCCTACCCCCTTTTCCTGGCTGAGAAGAATCATGAATGCACACACAGTGACTTGGTCAGGGCAGGGTGCACAAAGAACAGTAACTGTTGTCTCCTTAGAAAACTGCGTGGCATGGGGAAAGGGGGATGTGCAACATGATTAAACCAGTGTGATTTAGTTATAATTAATATGGTGGAACAATGATTTGATAACCAAAATGTGTTCTTCCATTTCTGAGCTATATTAGGTTATAATTCAAACTGAAATGTCTTTGTGTGATTAAAGACAAAAAAACAAATAACAAAAAAAAAACAATGTGTGTGTGTACAGTGTGTGTGTGTGTGTGTGTGTGTGTGTGTGTGTGTGTGTGTGTGTGTGTGTGTGTGTGTGTGTGTGTGTGTGTGTGTGTGTATGTGTGTGTGTATATATGTATATATATATATATATATATATATATATATATAAAATGTATGTGTGTGTGTAAATATATATAATCAGAGGAATTGAATCCTATCTGTGTCTGCTGTAACCTGCTGACTGGTATCACCTGTGAAATTTGACACTTGCACTGGATACACACAAGGCAGTGAGGAATTTCCACCCCCCCTTCTCCTCGACAGACTGTAGAGAGAGAGCCAATAAGAAGATCCATTAAAGGAGCCAATGACAGGGACTTTCTCAAGCAGGAGATGCAGCTGCAAAGCATTGTGGAATATGCAGTCTTGAACAGAAACGGCACGATAGGCTTATATGTGGAATGGAACTACCCAGACACGTTTGCAGAGTGAAGGACCTCATCTTGTTTTTCCTGATAGGAAGCAGTCTTCATGTGGCAAAGAAGTGCTTAGGGAAAGTTAACTGCATGCTTAGTTACCTGCATCAGTCAGGGAAACATCCAAACTGAGAGAAGTGGCCTACAGTACAATGTCTACACCGACAGTGTGTGAGAGCACTCATCATGAGGTGACCAGAGGAGCCTGTCATTTTCAGGACGATCGTTTGGGCCTTAGTCACAGGTTCTGGTGAAAGGGATTTTGCCCACTGGCAGATGACAGCAATGCTGCACACAGACAGAGACATTACATTTCTCCCATACTCACCAGGCACTGGGTTGTGTAGATGACCCTGCTAAACAGACACAGTATTTGCTTTGCTATACAAATACTGCCACAGGATTACAATTATACTTTACCATAGGAGTTTAAGTGCACCAACAAAAGTGGCTAGCTGAAGATCCCAAGATTCATCCTGTTACCAAGAGACTGAAGTTACTGGTGCCATACTGGCATGCGCATGCGTATTCAGGCCTCTATATTGCATGGTATGTGAGGGAATAACTTTACCTTGGAAAGTAGCTATTAAGTATCAGTTGGGTACAGTGTTTGCCTACTAGGCTTGTGGTGTCAGGGGTTAGAAGGGAGAAGTCTGACACAACAGAGAGTCATTCTTCTTCTGCTCTCCTCCTGCTTGGACATCATAGAGCCAAATTTATGTAAAGGGCTTTAGACCCACTTTGAGGTTGCCATTTAAGTGTTTGCCTCTGCTCTTGGGGTTATTCACGGTTGGAATCCCCTGAAAGCAGCCTGAGTGTAAAAGTGAGCTATATTGCTTTCAGTCACAGTATTTGTTGTTCTCTTGATTCACCTAACGTATACCTGTTGTTAATGTTTGTTGCTTTCCATAGAGGTCTTACAGTAAAGCTGATCTCTGTGTTTTATTATAAAGTGTGTGCTTTTGCATTTACACTATTGCCAGGTGTGTCAGCTGGGGCTGAGACAGTTTGTCAGGGCTCCCAGGTATGACCAGAGGTGTGTGACTGACGCAGGGAAACGCAGACTTCAGATATGTTATAAACAATATAATTTATTGACACTAACAATACAAACATAAACGCAGTGCAATACTAAAACATAACACAGTGCAAACAAACCAAACCACCCACAGATGACAGTACATACAATGCAAACGTCGTCAGGCAGGCCGGGTCAATATCAATCGGGCAGGTAGGTACAGGGGAGCAAGCGGAGAATGGTCGGGGTCACAAGCCAGGTTCAGCAGGTAGCGGGGCAGCGTGGTACAGAGGGTCAGGCAGAGGAGAATGGTCAGGCAAGCCAGGGATCAGGAGCAGGAGAATGGTCAGACAAGCCAGGGATCAGAGCAGGGTCAGCAGAGAATCAGACAGGAACAGGACAGGGAGCAGGAACAGGATACAGGAACAGGATACAGGGCCCAGGAGAAACACAACAGCAAGGCAGAGTCTGCAGGTCTGAATGTCCCTTAAATACACCAGTATAATTAGTTCCAGGTGTTTGACTGGCTGCAAGGTTGAGTCTCTGATTGCTGGGAGCACCCGCTGGCCAGCCCTGGTACTGCAGCTCATAAGGCAGGTGAGTCCCACTATTGCTGGCCAGTCCATTCCTGACAGTACCCCCCCCTCAAGGAGCGGCCTCAGGACGCTCCAAACAGTCCTAGCTGGGCAAAATGTTCCACCGCCCGGGTCTGGTAACTGGCGGGATATCAAAGACTGGCACACCGGGCAGGACTCCGGGCAGCGGCACTCCGGGCAGGGGCACACCGGGCAGGGGCACACCGGGGGCAGAGGCACATCGGGGGCTGGACTCGGGCAGAGGCACATCGGGCTGGACTCCGGGCAGAGGCACATCGGGCTGGACTCCGGGCAGAGGCACATCGGGCTGGACTCCGGGCAGAGGCACTCTGGGCAGAGGCACTCCGGGCAGAGGCACATCGGGCTGGACTCCGGGCAGAGGCACATCGGGCTGGACTCCGGGCAGAGGCACATCGGGCTGGACTCCGGATTACCAGGTGAAGCAGCAGGCACCGTGCCCCCAGGCGGGGCGACAGGCATCGGCCCCCAAGCGGAGCGGCGGGCACCGGGCCCCCAGGAGGGGCGACAGGCATCGGGCCCCCAGGCAGGGCGACAGGCATAGGGCCCCCAAGCGGGAGCGGAGCGGCAGGCGCCGGCCCCCAGGAGGGGCGACAGGCATCGGGCCCCCAGGCGGGGCGACGGGCATCGGGCCCCCGGGGGGGGACGGGCCCCCAGGACGACGGGCATCGGGCCCCCAGGAGGGGCGACGGGCATCGGGCCCCCAGGCGGGGCGACGGGCGCCGGGCCCCCAGGTGGAGCGACAGGTCTCGGGCCCCCAGGCGGAGCAACAGGTCAGGTCTCGGGCCCCCAGGCGGAGCGGCGGGCGCCGGACCCCCAGGCGGGAGCGACAGGTCTCGGGCCCCCAGGCGGAGCGGCGGGCGCCGGACCCAGGCAGAGCGACAGGTCTCGGGCCCCCAGGCAGAGCGTGCGGGCGCCGGACCCCCAGGCAGAGCAGCGGGCGCCGAACCCCCAGGCGGAGCGACAGGTCTCGGGCCCCCCAGGGCGGAGCGACAGGTCTCGGGCCCCAGGCGGAGCGACAGGTCTCGGGCCCCCAGGCGGAGCGGCGGCCGCCGGGCCCCCAGGCGGAGAGCAGCCGGCCGGACCCCCAGGCGGAGCGGCGGCCGCCGGACCCCCAGGCGGAGCGACGGATCTCGGACCCCCAGCAGAGCAGCGGGCGGCCCGACAGGCGGGCCCCCAGGAGGAGCGACAGGAGGGGCCCCCAGGCGGAGCGACAGGTCTCCCCCAGGCGGAGCGACAGGTCTCGGGCCCCCAGGCGGAGCGGCGGCCGCCGGGCCCCCAGGCGGAGCGGCGGCCGCCGGACCCCCAGGCGGAGCGGCGGCCGCCGGACCCCCAGGCGGGAGCGGCGGCCGCCGGACCCCCAGGCGGCGGAGCGACGGATCTCGGGCCCCCAGGCGGGAGCGGCGGGCGCCGGACCCCCAGGCGAGGAGCGACAGGTCTCGGGCCCCAGGCGGAGCGGCGGGCACCAAGTCACCAGGCACGACAGTGGGCTCCGAGTCAACTGGCAAGACTGCGGGCACCGAGTCAACTGGCGGAACAGCGGGCTTCGAGTCGTCTGGCAAGACTGCGGGCACCGAGTCGTCTGGCAAGACTGCGGGCACCGAGTCAACTGGCGGAACAGCGGGCATCGAGTCAACTGGCGGAACAGCGGGCTTCGAGTCGTCTGGCAAGACTGCGGGCACCGAGTCGTCTGGCAAGACTGCGGGCACCGAGTCAACTGGCGGAACAGCGGGCATCGAGTCAACTGGCGGAACAGCGGGCTTCGAGTCGTCTGGCAAGACTGCGGGCTCCGAGTCGTCTGGCAAGACTGCGGGCTCCGAGTCGTCTGGCAAGACTGCGGGCTCCGAGTCGTCTGGCAAGACTGCGGGCTCCGAGTCGTCTGGCAAGACTGCGGGCTCCGAGTCGTCTGGCAAGACTGCGGGGCACCGAGTCGTCTGGCAAGACTGCGGGCACACCGAGTCGTCTGGCGGAACAGCGAGCACCGAGTCAACTGGCGGAACAGCGGGCACCGAGTCGTCTGGCAAGACAGCGGGCACCGAGTCGTCTGGCAAGACAGCGGGCACCGAGTCGTCTGGCAAGACAGCGGGCACCGAGTCGTCTGGCAAGACTGCGGGCACCGAGTCGTCTGGCAAGACTGCGGGGCACCGAGTCGTCTGGCGGAACAGCGGGCATCGAGTCGTCTGGCAAGACTGCGGGCACCGAATCACCAGGCACGACAGTGGGCTCTGACTCAATTGGCACGACAGCGGGCACCGGGTCATCAGGTACCGGATTGTCTGGCTCGACAGCGGGCATCGGGTCACCAGGTATGACAGCGGGCACTGGGTCACCAGGCATCAGGTCATTTGGCTTGCCAGCGGGCACCGCGTCATCTGGCAAGGCAGTGGGCACCGAGTCACTAGGCACGACAGCGGGCTCTGAGTCAACTGGCATGACAGCGGGCACCGGGTCATCAGGTACCGGATTGTCTGGCTCGACAGCGGGCATCGGGTCACCAGGTATGACAGCGGGCACTGGGTCACCAGGCATCAGGTCATTTGGCTCGCCAGCGGGCACCGCGTCATCTGGCAAGGCAGTGGGCACCGAGTCACCAGGTACGACAGCGGGCTCTGAGTCAATTGGCACGACAGCGGGCACTGGATCAGGTACCGGATCATCTGGATCAACAGCGGGCATCGAGTCAACTGGCCTAATAGGATCGTCATGCTGGGTAGCGGCATCAGGCTGAATGCAGGCATCCGGCTGTAAAGTAGCTGAGGAGGCATCCGGCTGAGTAGAGGCATCAGGCTGAGTAGAGGCATCCGGCTGAGTAGAGGCATCCGGCTGAGTAGAGGCATCCGGCTGAGTAGAGGCATCAGGCTGAGTAGAGGCATCAGGCTGAGTAGAGGCATCAGGCTGAGTAGAGGCATCCGGCTGAGTAGAGGCATCCGGCTGAGTAGAGGCATCCGGCTGAGTAGAGGCATCCGGCTGAGTAGAGGCATCAGGCTGAGTAGAGGCATCAGGCTGAGTAGAGGCATCAGGCTGAGTAGAGGCATCAGGCTGAGTAGAGGCTTCAGGCTGAGTACAGGCATCAGGCTGAGTAGAGGATTCAGGCTGAGTAGAGGCTTCAGGCTGAACCACGGAAGGCAGGTTCACCGGTTTGGATACTGGCAGGATGGTATTGGTTGGAAAGAATTTTCGCTTTTTTCTGGTTTTAACTACTGGAGCACTGCAAGTAAACGCAGGTCTGCAAATGAATGGAGCAGCTGGAGACAGAGAAGAGCTGGAGGATGGAACAGGGGAGGGAGCAGTTGCTACAGAGGGCTTTTTTACAGGGTTAAAGGCAGGATAGGTGCAGCGAGTGGGAACAGGGTACTGACATGCGGTAGATAGCAGGGCAGGAGGAGCTGTTGGGAATGCAGGAATAGAGCTTTGAGGAAATAGATTAGAAGCAGGACTGGGTTTTTGTAAGCTGACTGAGGCTGGGTGCAACAAGTCTGTCCATGTCTGCAGTATGGGTTGAACAAAGCTGAGCTTACACAAAGCCTGTCTGACCAAAGACTGCACTGCGTTTATACAATCTCTTAGTGTCTGTGGTGAACAGTGCCCTGGTGCCCAGCAGCGCCACCCACCAGTTCCGCCCACCTGTGCCCAGCAGTGCCACCCACTAGCTACGCCCACCTGTGCCCAGCAGTGCCCACCAGTGCCACCTAGCAGTGCCACCCACCTGTGCCCAGCAGTGCCACCCAGCAGTTTTCCCCCTTTGAAAACGTGTGTGTGACACGAAACGCGTCAGGGAGGTGCCCCCCTACTGTCTGGACATACCACTTAGCTGCCCCATGTTCCTGTGATCAATATTTGTAAGTGTGTTTTTTTTTGTTATCATTTGTAATTACTACGGAAATAAATATAATACTACACTATCAAAGCTTCTGGCCTGTGGCTCTCTTTTTTGGAGGGAGCCCAGGCCTTTTGAAGGTGCTCGGTTCCTCTTGGTCTCCTGTGTGTTGCTGGCTGGCTTGCTGGATTCATCTTCCTATTGGCTGATGTATATCTCTGGGATCATCGTCCTGCTGTCCTGGGAACATGACATCTAGTGGCGAGAGATCAGATGACATCATCCCCTCCAGTGGCTTCCTTTCAGAGTACCAGGAGTAGGTCTTAATTACTCCATGCTCCATGTGCTGAGACATCTTTTTAGTGCAAGCTATTCTCAGTTTTTTCAACACAAGAGTCATGAACTTTCCTCTGGTTTTTCAACCTTGGATGCACCACAGAAGTCACGAGTTTAATATGTTTTATATTTTAATGTTTATTTTTATTATGAATCTTACCTAATTTAGATCCACTATATGCGATCAGGTTTCTCTAATATATGAGATCTGGTTAATCTCTAATTTATGAGCGCTGCATATTTTCATGACATACTATCCGAAGTTTTTTGAGGTTTACTTTCTATGCCAGCAGCTCAACTAATTATTTCATTAATCCACACACTCATATATCTATTTGAATAATTATTAGACACCTAGCGCTGTTGCACTTTATTTCATTTTCAAGTCAGTGCCCAGCAGTTGCGCCCATCAATGCCTAGCAATGCCGCCAGTCAGTGCCCAGCAGTGATGCCAGTCAGTGCCACCTATCAGTGCTGTCTATCAGTACCCATCATCAGTGCCGCCTATCCGTGCCACCTCATTAGTGCTGCCTATCAGTGCCCTTCAGTGCAGCCTATCAGTGCCGCGTGGTTAAACTGTACAGATACAGTGCTCAGCATAAATGAGTACATCCCTCTTGAAACGTAAGATTTAAATCAATTTCTCAATGAGCACAAGAACAATTCTTGATTGACAATTCAAAATTTTGACAAAATTGAGTTTTATAGAACATTTGTTAGTAATATAACTTAGATTAAAAAATCTTCAGTTTTACTCAAATTAGTTGATGCAAAAAATGAATACACCCCACAACAAAAACTCCATCTAGTATTTTGTATGACCTCCATGATTTCTAAGGACAGGACCAAGTCTTCTAGGCATGGAATAAACAAGTTGTCGACATATTGCAACATCTATCTTTTTCCATTCTTCAAGAACAACCTCTTTTTTTAGATCTTGGATGCTGGATGGAGAGTGATGCTCAACTTGTCTCTTCATAATTCCCCATAGGTGTTCAATTGGGTTCAGATCAGGAGACATACTTGACCACTGAATCACGTTCACCCTGTTCTTATTCAGAAATGCAACAGTGGCCTTAGATGTCTCTTTTGGATCATTGTCATGTTGGAAAAGTGCATAATGACCAGTGCATGACGAGTGATGGTAGCATCTTCTCTTTCAATATAGAGCAGTATATCTGTGAATTCATGATACCATCAATGAAATGCAGCTCCCGAACACCAGCAGCACTCATGCAGCCCCATAGAAGGACACTGCCACCACCATGTTTCACTGTAGGCACCATGCATTTTTCTTTGTACTCCTCACCTTTGTGACACCATGCAGTTTTGAAGCCATCAGTTCTAAAAACATTTATCTTGGTCTCACCACTCCAGAGTACAGAGTCCCAGTAGTCTTCTTTTTCAGCATGGGCCCTGGCAAATTCTTGGCAGGCTTTTTTGTGCATGGACTTTAGGAGAGTCTTCCTTCATGGATGACACGTGATTTGCATTACCAGATAGGGGGCACGCGTGCACTGCCCTACCCGCACCGCCATTGTTGGATAGGGATGTCAATCATTGAGTCCTAGAGTGAGATTCCCAGCAGGCACCCTGCGATCATTGGACAAAGCTGACAGGGGAGAGACCTGTAAACAACAGAGGTCTCTCTCCTGCCAGCAAGGACATGGTGCTGTGTATTTCTGTATTGCACAGCATTGAAATACAAATCAGCATGTCTCCGTAGTAAAACACACACAGCACACATGTAAAAAAGCACACAGTACACTGTTAACCCTTTGATCACCCCAGATGTTAATCCCTTCCTGCCCTGTGTCATTAGTGTCAGTGCTTTTTATTAGCACTGATCACTGTATTTGTGTCATTGGGGTGTCAGTGGCAGTTAGTCAGTTCCTACCCAGTGTTGCAATGCCCACCGCAGTCCTGCTAAAGGTTGCTGATCACCGCCATTACTAGTATAAAAAAAATTTAAATCCATTATATATACCGCCATTTGTAGACGCTATAACTTGCCAAATTTCATTTACGTACAGCATTGCATGACCATGCATTTGTCAGTTAAAGTAATGCAGCACTGTATTGCAAAAAATGGCCTGGTCAGGAAGAGGGGTAAATCCTCTGGAGGGCAAGTGGTTAAGTAATACCCTTTTACCCTAGGTTCACATCTGTGTGGGTGGTGCTGCTGCGGATCCGCACGAAAATCCGTGCAGCCGCACCACCCGCACAGAGAAATGCGGCCCCGCGGGCAGGTGCCATTCGTTCTAATGGCACGCTGCCAGCACTGGAAAACACAACCATACTGGAAACCGAGGTTCCCGTGCGGGCTGTGTTTTCCAAAGAAGTGCAGGGACTTCTTCCCTGCGTGTCACGGGCACGGGAGTCCATTCAAATGAATGGGCTCTCGTGCTGAGCAAAACGCAGGCCGCACAGCCGCATATATGTGAACCGGGGGTTATAATCAACTGTCTGCTGGACACCTGTTTATTGAATAATTAGACTCACCTGTAGTTGAATACTTGTTAATTAGGATTTTGTTGTCTAAAATGTAGCTTTGCTCTTAAGACTTTTATTGGGGTGTATTCATTTTTGCAACATGGTCTTGAATTAATTTGTTGGGAAAAATGTTTTTTGTGTGTGCAAATTAACAAATTTTGTTTGCAATCAATGGCCCACATTTGTGGTAGTGTTTTGTAGTACAGTGTACTACAAATGTTGATTCTGAAAGGAAAGATTTTCTGACAAATCTGTTGGGGTGTACTCATTTATGCTGAGCACTGTAGGAGTATCATCTGCCTCAGTCCACCCCTGTTTGTACTGTTGTTCTTATTGATAAAGAGTCACAGTAAAGAGGTTATCTAAAGGATTCGTTTACATAGAACCAGTCATAATCCGGTGCAAGAATTTGAAAAGTTTAGTCTTAAAATGACTAAAATTATTTATCACACAAAATGACCACTTTGTCTTCTTTTTAGACTGCCCTTCTCACCACATGTAATTGCATTACAGCAAACCGTCTCTGTATCTGCCACCCCCCTCTGCCAATCCCTCCACTGGCTTCCCTTTGCCCAATGGATAAAATTAAAACACTAACAATAACGTATAAAGCCATTTATAACTCTGCCCCAAATTACATCACCGATCTTGTCTCTAAATATCACCCAAACCGTACTCTCCGCTCCTCGCCAGACCTCCTACTCTCTAGATCCCATGTCTCCTCCTCCCATGCTCCTCTCCAGGACTTCTCCAGAGCTTCCCCCATCCTCTGGAACTCTCTACCCCAATTTATCAGACTAGCGACTACTCTGCTCACTTTTAGGCGATCTCTGAAACCCTATCTCTTTAGGGAAGCCTATCCTGGCCTCAGCTAATACTGGAATCTTCTACTCTTCCAACCAGTCCATCCCCCACAGTTACTACCTTTTGTACCGCTAGCCACTCCCTCCTAGATTGTAAGCTCCAAGGAGCAGGGCCCTCAAATCCCTCTTGTATTAAACTGTATTGTCTCCTGTTATATTGTACAGCGCTGAGCAAACTGT